GCTCAGGCAATCCACTCACCTCAGCCTCCCAAAGTGCTGGGATTACAGGCTGAGCCACCGAGCCCGGCTTCCCCACTTTTTAATGGGGCTGTTCGTTTTTTCCCTTTCAGCATGTTTGAGTTCCTTGTAGATCCTGGATGTTAGGCCTTTGTCAGATATGTAGTTGGCAAATATTTTTTCCCATTCTGCAGGCTGTCTCCCCACTCTCTTGATGGTTTCTTTTGTTTTGCAGAAGATTTCAGTATGATGAAGTCCCACTTGTCTATCATATCTCTATGGCATGGGCTTTTGGGATTTTGATCAGGAATTGGCTGCCTATTCTGATTTCCAGAAGAGTGTCTCCTATGTTTCCTGAGAAGTTTGAGGTTTTACCTTTAGGTCTTTTATCCATTTGGAGTTGATTTTTGTGTATAGTGATAGGTAGGGGTCCTACTTCATTCTTCTGCACATGGTCAGTCAGTTTTTCCAGCACCATTTACTGAATAGGTTCTCCTCTCCCCAGTGGTTGTGGTTGGAAGCTTTGTCGAAGATAAGTTGGTTGAGAAATTGAGGTTTTGCTTCTGGAATCTCTATTCTGTTCCATTGGTCTATATGCCTATTCTTGTAAAAATACCAGATTGTTTGGATTATTGTAGCTTTGTAACAAGGTTTAAAGTCTGGAAGTATAATCCCTCCCACTTTGTTTCTTTTGCTAAAGGTTTTTTCAGCTATTTGTGGTCGTTTATGTTTCCATATGAATTTCTGTATTGTTTTCAGGTGTAAGAAGAATGATGGTAATTTAATGGGTATTGCATTAAAGCTGTAGATTGCCTTAGGTAGAATGGACATCTTAGCAATGTTGATTCTTCCAATCCATGAGCATGGAATATTTTTCCACTTGTTTGTGTCACCTTTGACTTCTTTGAACAGTGTTTTGTAGTCTTCATTGTAATGATCTTTCACTTCTCTGGTAAGGAAGATGCTGAGGTATTTCATTTTTTTGTGGCTATTGTGAATGGATTGTACTTTTTATTTGATTCTCTGTCTATTTGTTGTTGGTGTATAAGACTGCAACAATCTTTCACACATTTATTTTGTACCCTGAGACTTTGCTGAAGTCCTTCATCAGTGCAAGGAGGTTTTTGACAGATTATCTTAGATTTTTGAGGCATAGGATTATATCATCAGCAAAGAGGGAAACCCTGACTTCTTTTCCTGTTTG